TTACGAATGATTGATGCGGAGGTTTGTACGTGTCTGCTAGACTCCCACGTTGCAAATGTTCTACTGCGACATGTGTTACCACTTACACAGTGAGTAGGATCAAGTTGTAAGCTCCTCCCTATGGTAACGCAATATTGCCTCACCCACAATTTGCCATGGTGACTGCGTGTGCGGCCTTATTTGTCTCCATGTCTTTCCCAGTCCAAGCAATGCCCCTACACATGGGTGTTTACTTTGGCAAGTCATTAGGGTGACACTAAAGCAAATATTAAGGGGGGGGAGAGGGGCGGACTATCAAAAGGATCTTTCATTATGCTCTGAATGGACATTCGTTATTAGGGGGTGTGCAGGCCCAATCCAACTGCTCTCAACACTTGTGGTAACAGTCTGTTATGATGATCCCTAATCTAAAACCCGCCATCCCTTCTTCCTTGCAACTTTGAATTTCTTTTTCTTCAAGATGTATATAATTCTTAATTAATCAGACCAATTTTTGGCATGCTGGGAACTCAAATGTCTACAATTCGTGCCGTAGACCTCCTGCATGGTTCTTCTAATTTCTTAACCCCCTATCCAATCCTATCCAATCAATTTATTGCTAGTGGTGCACAAAATCCTGCGCTTATCCAAATCTGCTGCGTATTAGGAAAATAATCCGAAACATTGCTCCACACATAGCGGATCTGGTGCGGCTAACATCCCGTACGAGGAGAGATCACAGCTGCAGGCAGTCAGCATTTTGCTACAATGCAAACCATATTGTACACAAAACAATATCCTGTTTTAATCCAGAATCCAGATGTGAACACAATATGCCATAGCTTTTCAATGTTCATATGTGAGCTGTGTCTTCACAATGGGGCCGCACATGCTGAGCGCAGAGCTATAAGTCACTTTGTTTTGTAAAATCTATGATGCATTTGCAGCATTTGAATAATAATTTCAAAGGATGCTTTTGTGTCAGGAATCAATAGAACACTTCAAAGAACACGTGACTGCTGGACATAAACATAACGCGATTCTATTAAACTCTGCAAATGGAACACTGCACCTCCAACATAACCGTCCACTGGACACGATCATAATACAATTCTATTACACCCGATACATAAAACACTACAACCCCCAACATGACGGACCACTGAACATGATCATAATACAATTCTATTACACTCTATCATAGAACACTATACCACCCCAACATGACCAACCACTGGAAATGATTATAATACAATTCTATTACACTTTATACATAGTACACTACACCCCCCAACATAACCGTCCACTGGACACGATCATAATACAATTCTATTACACCCGATACATAAAACACTACAACCCCCAACATGACCGACCACTGGAAATTATTATAATACAATTCTATTACACTCTATACATAGTACACTACACCTCCAACATGACCGACCACTGGACATGGTCATAATACAACTCTATTACACTCTATATATAGAACATTACACCCCCCAACATGACCAACCACTGTACACCATCATAATACAATTCTATTACACTCTATACATAGAACACTACAACCCCCAACATGGCCGACCACTGGACATGATCATAATACAATTCTATTACAGTCTATACATAGAACACTACACCTCCAACATGGCTGACCACTCTACATGAATACAATTCATTTCCATTAGACTGCCTATTTATTTTGGCAACTAAAGTTTCACTTTATTTCTCAATTTATAGTACCTTCTGTAGAATATAAATATTTTCTTCCCTATCCTAACCAAAAAAGTTTCAATGTCTTTTTAATGTAAACTATAACTATGGCCAGCGCAGCTCAACCTAATACAAACTGACTTTGCTTACTCTATGCATAGTGATGTTTGAGGCACATAAAGCTGTCCGAATTCGATAGGAATCAGCATGTCTTCTTGGAGAAATTTCCTATATGGTGGAATTATGGAGCTGCACACCCCAGTCGTACTTAATCCCTGTTCACATAAGTGTATCCTGATATTAACTGACATTAACACCCTTTAATGTGCCACTAAACTCTGGAGTTAAATCTCAAAAATGCATCCAAGTATCTGAACTATTAACAACAATGTATGTTATTTGTGTATCACTCGGCTGGAGATCCTCCAATCATCTCTGAATTGGTGCTGACACTGTTCTTCCTTCTGGAGGGTGGCTACTTTTGTTCCCCATGGTCCCTGTGTGTGTTGTAAAGTAATCACCGTTCCAAGCTTACTCCTGTGATGGACTACAATCTCATGTTTAGTTTACTAATTTGTATTGAGATTGTAGTCCATCACAGGATTGAGCTTGGAGCGGTGACTACTTTACAACACACACAGGGATTATGGGCAACAAAAGTAGTCACCCTCCAGAAGGAAGAACAGTGTCAGCACCTATTCAGAGATGATTGGAGGATCTATAGCCGAGTGACACACAAATTGGATACATTGTTGTTAATAGTTAAAGGATAAGTTTACCTTTTGCAAAAATGAAAGAAATGCATAATTAATAATATATATAAAAATATGAATTTCTCTAATATTTCCCTTCACTGCCTATACAGGTTTTTATCTGCATCGGGGTTGACATTGGAACCCTTTTTTTTTTTCTTCTTTTGAAGCCCGTGGAGTGTGCATTGAAAAACAAAAATCCCCTGTAAACAAAAAAAGTGAATAGTGAAGTGAAATCACTACACACTAAGATAAAAGTGCACGAGGGTGCTGTGGACTTTCTCTAGTGAGAAGGGCCTTGGTTTCCTGAATTTCGCGGGGCGCTAGGCTCATGAGAGGGGAAACACGACTTAGGTCCACCTACCCGAAGGCCGTCGGACCCCTCTCTTCTGGGACCTGGCGAAACAGGTCCACCGAGTACTAGGTGGGGGCTCTCCCGAAGAGAGACCCCTGAGTGGGAGGAGGCAGGGAAGCCCAAAGAGGCCACAGAACCTCCTCCCCGACTTCAGGAACGGGCCCCGCAGGTACCCGCACCCTCCGTCATTCTGTGAAGTCAAAACGTGCAGTCGTGCATAAAATGCTTAAATAAATAAGTGCCAGTGCACAAACCTGGCAGGCCTTCCGGCCAAGGTATGACAATTGCCCCAGGCTAGCCAGAAGGCCTGCCCAAGAGGCGTAGTGCAGAAAAAAGCTTGAGTGCCGTGACCTAGAGCTGGTGAATCAAGTGGGGTCCCAAACCAAAGTGATTTTCCGGCACACCCTGAGACACCACTCCCAGAGGGCACAGCTCTAGGTAGATGCGGGAATATGGGCAGCTCTACCTAGAGGGAGGACGGTTGGACGCTGTATGAGATGATTTAATGCAGTTTGAAGTCCAACCGTCCTTCCCCATCTCTCCCAACTGAAACTCCCTACCTCAGTACGAGGGAGAGAATGTGCTGAAGTCTGAGCTTTGCAGCTGTGATCGAGTGATCACAATTGCGAGGCTTTCCAGGCTTAAATGCAAATATTAAAGAAATGCATATTTTTTTTAAATATATTATTAATTTTGCATTTCTTTCATTTTTGCAAAAAGGTGAACTTATCCTTTAAGGTACTGGAATGTATTTTTAAGAATTAACTCCTGAGTTTAGTGTCACTTTAAAATCTAAGGGCCCCGGTGACGTCAATACGTGTAGCACCTGCAGCGTTTAACCTACTACATTACACTACAATCCTATTAAAAAAGATAATTGTTTGTATTTGTGCTGCGCTTTGCAGTTTTTGTTTCCATGGATACTTTAGATTAAAGTTCACAGTCAGGAAATGTTTTTATTTAAAGCTTACGAAGGTCATTTTTTTGTTTACTTTCGGGCTTTGCCTATACACGGACGTGCCTGCATAAAGGTGTCTATGCGCGCTCTGCCGATGCAAAGAGGATGATTCTGGTGTGATTGGACCTTAAAGTTATTAAAAAAGATACTTAACAATAGGGATGCACCGGTATATCCACCGAAAATTGCACTTTTGGCAAAATTGACATTTTCTGCCAGAAATAGCGGTGCATTCGTTCTATCTCTCCTCCCCGCTGGGGGCTGCTCTGTGTCCCAGTGGGGAGGACAGAAACTGTCACAGGCCGGCATCCCGCCTCCCCGCAGCGCTCAGCCTCCTGTCACAGATCAGGAGAGCGGTGTGAGGGGTGAAGACAGCCATTTCTGTCACAGGAGGCTGAGCTCTCCTCCATCAACACCCCACCCAGCCTCCTGTGACAGCCAATCCAGGATGGAGAGCGGCGGTGTGGGCGGAGACAGCTGTCACAGGAGGCTGAGCTCTTCTCCCGCACCGCTCGCTCAGCCTCCTGTGACAGCTGTCAGGATGGAGAGCGGGTACAAACACTCAGCGATCGCCGAGTGTTTGTAAAAAAATGAAGACAGAGTATGTTCTCTGTGTCCCCAATTATGAATGAATGGGAAGTGATCTACATCACTTCCTGTTCATTCATGATTGTGGTTATAGTAAACGCACTCTGTCCTTGTGTTATGAATGAACAGGAACACTCATAGAGGATTCCTGTGCATTGATAACAGGGGATACAGAGAAAGAGATTGAGGACTCTGTGTCCTCAATCTCTTTTTCTATGTTAAAAGGGAAATATCAGGGGTCTGTTTAGACGCCTAATATTTCCCAGAAGCTCCTAAAAGTAATGTAAAAAAATAAAATATTTAATAAAATGAATAAATAAATAAAAATAAAATATAAAAAAATGTAAACGTTTATAAAAAATAAATACAAATAAAATAGTAAAAAAAAGAAATTGAAAAAGTTAGAATAAAAAAACATTTTCGGTTTCGGCCTGACATTCTTTTTTCATTTCGCTTTCGTTCCGGTTTTTAGAATTTCCATTTTGGTGCACCCACTTAACAATCTAGTAACTTATTTTATAATAAACGCTCTGGAATATGCATTGGGCTTTAAAAGGATTGTTAGCTGGCTCCTGTATCCTCTTACATTAATAGATATTGTCATTCAGGACACCCCCGAGCTAGAGATAAGAGTACAGGACGCCCTTACCTCTGAGCTGTCTCCATGTCACAGTCGGCTCCGGTTTTCCCACTGCTAGACACATGAGGTTAACGTTGCTCCCCTCGTTTACTGTGATGCTCTGCGAGATGTTGACTATTTTGGCTGGAACTAATTAAAAAAAAAAAAGCATAATGTCAAAATGCATCAAACAAAGAATACACAAACAATCAATTCATTGGAAGAGGTGGGGGGATTGATTTATAGTTCATAGCAGATTGAAAATGGTATTTAAAGCTGAAATGCCATTCGCAGTTACATAATTGCCAACAGACACAATCTGTCTTCATTTCAATTAATGACTTGCGGTAATTAGTAATTCTAAATTGTACAAAATAACATTCAGATATTCAATCAAATTAGCAGAGCGCGTATGATGTCATATTGGCCTATATTTGAGCTGCCGTAAATACATTCGTTGATATAGATTACTCCTTTTTTATAGCTGCAGAGTGCAGCAGTTCTTAAGAACCAATCAGAAGCGTTGATTGTTCTAAATTGGTGGAAGCGGATTATATGTGCATCGGGAATGGCATTATCAACTCCCATTTGCAGTAAGGCCAAATGCACCCTCACTATAGTGCCCCACAAAGCATGGGTGTGAATGCTCTGTGCATTGGGATGTGCTGCATTGCCCAAAATGGTTCAATAGTTTGTGAATTCAGAGCCCTTTAAAGGAGAACTATGAGGCAAGTGAAAATCACTCAGCCTCATAGTTCTAGCCGACCTGTGACAATGAAACTGTCACACGTCGGCTCAATAGATCGGGAAGTGAGCGAACATATACCGTCGCTCGCTCACTTCTCGATCTTCTCCCTGCAGAGAGCGGTGACTGTCACTTACAGCTCCCTGCAGGGATTCCCCCTTCCCCACTCCGATCCTCCAGCGCTGACTGGAGGAACGGACTGGGGAGGGGGCAGGTACAGCTGGCTCTGCCCCTAGATAGGCAGAGCTAGCTGTGACGCACGCAGCTGGGTGGATCTCGACAGTAATGTCTCAGTATACCGCAAGCTACACTGATACACTGAGCTTTGGGTTACGGGAGGACGCTAGTTTATGTCCTACCGTGACCCTCAGGAGAACTATGGGAAAAAACACTTAACACATGCAAAGGGGCCCTAAATGTTGGACTAATGATTGCCCATAGACTATAAAGAGAAAATGGCTGGGGAAAACAGGAGGGGCTTACAAATCCTAGCTAGAATAATGCTGAGTGCCGCTCAATGCCAAGTGACTGCCAGGAAGGCAAACAAAATTTTGGGATGTAGAAAAAGAAAGAGAGCTAAAAACATCCAAAACCAATATCATGATGAAAATCACTCTGCTTGTTGCCATTGCTAGAGGCTGATATAAAAAAGCAATGAGATATAGCTGCAGACTAATAACAAACAATTAGATATGCATTAGACATGTGCGATTTGTTTAATTCCGAATCAAAATTCAGACGAATTTCCCGACATTCGGACACATCCGAATTACCGAATCCCAATGCATCCGAATGTGCCTGAATCTGATTTTCCGTTTCCAAATTTCGGATCCCGTCCGAATTTCGTTCAAAAACGAAACTGAATCGGACATGTGACTTTTCTGGCCAATCAGAGGTGTTTTTCGGTTTAATGCATCCGAATGGGTCTGAACAAGAATTTTAATTATGGCAACATGGGAGCCATATACAGTATATACATACACTATATTACCAAAACTATTGGGACGCTCCTCCAAATCATTGGATTCAGTTGTTCCGTGACATTTCCTTGCTACTAAATATTCCGCGGTCACCTGTTATAACAAAGTGGAAGCAACGGGAAACAACAGCAACTCAGCCACGAAGTGGTAGGTCACGTAAAATGATAGAGCGGGGTCAGCGCATGCTGAAGCGCACAGTGCGCAGAAGTCGCCAACTGTCTGCAGAGTCAATAGCTACAGACCTCCAAACTTCGTGTGGCCTTCAGATTGGCACAACAACAGTGTGTAGAGAGCTTCATGGAATGGGTCTCCATGGCCAAGCAGCTGCATCCAAGCCTTACATCACCAAGTGCAATGCAAAGCGTGGGATGCCGTGGTGTAAAGCACGCCGCCACTGGACTCTAGAGAAGTGGAGACGTGTTCTCTAGTGTGACCAATCACGCTTCTCTGTCTGGCAATCCGATGGACGTGTCTGGGTTTGGCGGTTGCCAGGAGAACGGTACTTGCCTGACTGCATTGTGCCAAGTGTAAGGTTTGGGGGAGGGGGGATTATGGTGGGGGGGTGTTTCTCAGGGGTTGGGATTGGCCCCTTAGTTCCAGTGAAGGGAACTCTTAAGGCATCAGAATACCAAGACATTCTGTACAATTTCATGCTCCCAACTGTGTGGGAGGAGTTTGGGGACGGCCCCTTCCTGTTCCAACATGACTGCGCACCAGTGCACAAAGCAAGGTCCATAAAGACATGGATGGGGGAGTTTGGGGGGAGGAACTTGACTGGCCTGCACAGAGTCCTGACCTCAACCCGATAGAACACCTTTGGGATGAATTAGAGCGGAGACTGCGAGCCCGGCCTTCTCGTCCCACATCAGTACCTGACCTCACAAATGGTCCAACATTCCCATAGACACACTCCTAAACCTTGTGGACGCCTTCCCAGAAGAGTTGAAGCTGTTATAGCGGTAAAGGGTGGAGCCGAAAACTCAATACTGAACCCGACGGACTAAGACTGGGATGCCATTGAAGTTCATGTGCGTGTAAAGGCCGGCGTCCCAATACTTTTGGTAATATAGTGTATAATACTAAAGCTGAGGCTATTCAGCTTTAGTATTAATTTCTGTATATGGTTTTCTGTTTTACTCGCCACGAATATTCATAAACTCATCCGAAACTAATGAAAATTCGGATTTCGTCTGAATCCGAAACCCGAACCAAATTGAATTTTGAATCCGAATTCCAAATTAGGAAATAATAAAATATCTGAACCAAACCGAATTTTCCGCAGCTTACATGTCTAATGTATATTACCCAACATTAGTAACAATGCAATGAGATATAGCTAAAGACTAGGGCTGTAACTTCAGATCACGAGGGCCCCATAGCAAAAATGAGATGACCTCTCTGTAAGCTGTCAGTAACAATGCCAAGATACCAAAGTCTCTATACTGTAGACTTTACAGGGGATTAGAGTTGTCATGAACTGCAACCACTGCAACCCTTAATGACATAGTACTGTATTATCTTTACATGATCTATGTTTAATTTACCTCGACAATCTAATTGGGCCCCCCTCCGCCCCCAGGCGCCACAGCAGTTACCTAGGCTGCTATGGCTATAGTTACACCACTGCTAAAGACTGGTAACAAAACGATGAGCTATAACTAAAGACTAGAAATAAACGATGAGCTATAACTAAAGACTAGTAACACAATTATAGGATATAACTAAAGACTAGTAACACAATTATAGGATATAACTAAAGACTAGTAACACAATTATAGGATATAACTAAAGACTAGTAACAAACAATGAGATATAACGAAATACAAGTACCCAACAATGAGATATAAATAAAACAACAGTAACAAACAAGGACATATAAATAAAGAATAATAAACAATGAGATATAACTAAAGACTAGTAACAATGAGATATAAATAAAGAATAATAAACAATGAGATATAAATAAAGAATAATAAACAATGAGATATACCTAAAGACAAGTAACAAACAATGAGATATAAATAAAGACTAGTAAGAAGAAACAACATATAACTAAAGACTAATAAGAAACAATGAGATATAACTAAAGACTAGTAACCAAGGAATGAGATATAAGTAAACGCCAGTAACAAGCAATGAGAGATTGTTTCCTGTGTTTATAAGGTCACATCTATCTATCTATCTATCTATCTATCTATCTATCTATCTATCTATCTATCTATCTATCTATCTCTCTATATATCTCTATATATAGATATATCTATATATAGAGATATATATATACACAGATAATATATTACAGTTACAGAGCACTTAATATACATTTTTTATTGGTATGTTGTACTCCTCTGGGGCGGCAAACAAACAAAGCAATTTTTTTTAGCAGCTCTGTATAACTACAATTACTTATATTGCCATTTGTAGGATCGTCTGTGGGTAATATAACAGACATAAAAGGAGGGTAAGTGCCCGTCTGTGATAAAATTAAATATGACATGTTATGTTGCTCCTCATAGCTGGTGAATTCACGGCCTTCCAATTCCAGGAGCCATAAAATAACCATTCCTATGCAGCACGCGCCTTGTGTGAACAGTAAGAAAGCATGTGCTCACAAGCAAAATGGCAGAAGAGAGAGGCGGGAGAAACTACATTGTCCAGGCCCCTGAAAGTGTATCTAAGATATTTTATTAAGAGTGGGAGGGTTAGAACCCATGTCAGGTTATTATGGGTCTCTGCATCCCAACTGGGGGGATGCCCCCCTATATTTTTACATATACAGTAAAGGTTTATTGAGATCCCCCTTATATTTGTCCTGGTGACCAGGCAGATAGCATTTTCTGAAGAAGTCTACATTAGCACCGTCCTTAATCTCTCACTATATGCTTCCTTTAAAGCGTAGGTAACCCCCGTAACTTAACTTCTGCTATTTGTTTCCTTTTGTTCTGTTAACCCCTTCGTGACTGACGACGTACAGTGTACGTCGCCAGCAAACCGAAAGACTTTTGTTAAATGCATTAAAAGTCCTGTTGATCCTGCCAGAAATTCAGTGAGCCCATACATGTCTGTGCACTCTGCAGTGTTATGTCAAGCTGTATTATGAGCCTTGCCTAGTTCTCTATGTGAACTACAGAACACCTACCTCCTATGTTATGGATGTGAAGAGAAAGGGAGTTGCTCTGTAGTCCTAACTTTTCCCTTTATATTTGCCTGGCGATCCTGCCAGTAACACACTTCCTGTCCTTGGGTGACTATGCTGCTTCTCCATAGATATAAGCAGGGCAGTGAGTGGTAAGCGTTGTCACCGTAGGACTGGAAGTGTGTTACTGGCAGGATTACCAGGCAAATATAAAGGAAACACTAATGCAGCCACCACATCTAAGGACTGAAAAGCTTCATTATATTACATTTTGATCTTGGGAAAGATT